TTTCTTTTTTCAATTTCTTTTTATTTATTTATGCATACAAGAACTGGGGTGTAGGCCAGAGGTCGGGGGTAGTTGGATTCACCAGAGACAGGGTAGGGAGCAGAACAGGTGGATTAACTGAAGTACACTGCTGAGGGGAACAGCAGGCAAGACAGGAGAGTCTGCTACCATGTGGGTTAGCTCCCTGGCTGGGGATCAAACTCTTGCTACAGTGGGCTGAGACTTAACCCCTGTGCCACCAGGGAGCCCCAGTAGCTGTTATTTCATATGTAAAGAGTGTGTGTATGTGTTGAGGTGGGTTTGATGCCTGCTGGCTCAGGAAGCTGAGACTGATTGTGGTTCCTAACACTTGCATCTTTTCCAGTTTGAGAAATGTTTGTGATTCTTCAAAGAGACGCTGTTACTTTATTTTTTAAATGAGCATGTTAGCATTGAGCCTTTGTAATAGGGAAAGAGGTACAGTGATGTTTCAGTAGGAAAGTGATAGTTATGGAGAACTGTAAAAGGCTTATTATAAGGTCAAAGAACCTCAGCCTAATATTTACTTTTAGTGGGATTGTTCTGATGATCATTTTCAAGGAAGTGTTTTAAATAGTGGTTGTGAGGGGCAGGAATGCCCAGAGCAGGTTTTCTGATTCCAGCAGATGGGTGGAGGAGAGAGTCCTGGAGCCCTCAGTGGCTTTTCAGGCTTTTATTGGGATTTACAAGGTACATGGCTGGGAGGCTGGTAGGCCTCCCAGCCCCCAACCCCCAGCAAGTGTTCACTCTTTCTGGGCTCTCCGGCCTTCTCTTACGTTCTCTCTGCTCTTCTGCTCTCCCTCGTGGTTCTTCCGTTTGTTCTATTCTGCTGGTGTCCCCGTGACCCTGCCCTTATAAGCCCAGTCTGAGCCCAGGTGAATGCCATCTACATATGCCCCCCACCCTACTCCAGGTGCCCGCTATCGGGCATACATTCAGGACCGCAGGGTTCCATCATCAGTCCTAATGGTGATGGGCAGAAAAGCCTGATACTTTTTACCTTACCCTATTTTGGGTAGGATGTATGTTTGGGGGAGCAGCAAGCCCTTGGATAAGAGAGGGTAGAATATCTCTGAACTGTGGGGCTTTTCTCTAGGGAAGCATGTTAGATATCAGGTGAATGGGAGGCTCAAAGAAACTCAGGTGATTTTATTAAGCTTCTCCCTCACCCAGTTGAGAATACAATAGCTTTTATGTAATGTTTGAAGCTATGCTTGGCAATAAGGTAAATAAGTAGTAGGCTTCAACTTGAAACAGCCGACCGGGGATTATGGAAAGTTTCTTTTGGATGGAAGCAAGGAAGAGCCTCTGGATCTGCTATAGCATCCCATTGGTTAAAAAGGACAATTTGTGGGGGCTCCCTAGTGGCTCATGGATTAAAGTCGCAGAGCTATCAAGCTATTGGCAACTGCAGCATGAGTTCGATCATGGCCAGGGAGCTCACCCCCATGGTGCAGCAGACCTCTCCTGTCTTGCCTGCTGCTCCCCTCAGCAGTGTATTTTACTCAGTCTGCCTGTTTTACTTCCCATTCTGTCTCTGGTGAATCCTCTCACCCTCCGCACCTCTGACCTACCCCTCAGTTCTATAAGCATAAATAAATAAAAATAAACTTAAAAAAAAAAAAGGACAACTTGGAAGAAATCTGGAAATGACTGCCAAAAACTTAAAGGATCAGGCTGCTTAGATTCTTGCAGTGGATGTAGAACCTGTCAATCCAATTTGATCTTTTTATGTTGGCACTTTCTTTTTTTATTGTAAAAAACAGCATAGATTGTACCATTTTAGCCATTTTTAGTGTACAGTTCAAATGTGTTACTATACTCATATTGTTACACTAGATCTCCAGAACCTTTCATTTCACAATTCTGTAACTCTATCCATTAAGCAGTTCCTCTTTCCCTTTTCCTCATCTTTGGGCAGACACCACCCTACTTTCTGTTTCTAGGAATTTGTCTACTTTTTAGATACCCTGTGTAAGTGGAATCATATAGTATTTGTGTTTTTGTGACTGGCTCATTCTACTTAGTATAATGTCTTTAAGGTTCATATCTGTGCATGTGTCAGCATTTCTTCCTTTTCAAAGTTGAATAATATTCTATTGTGTGTATGCAGTCATACATACATTCTAAGAAATGAATCATTAGGCAGTTTCATCATTGTATGAACCTCATAGAGTATACCTATACAGACGCGGGCAGTACAGCTATACACCTGGGCTACACTGCTGTACACCTTGGGACCACTGTTGTGTCTGTGGCCTAAGTGTCACAGTGACTGTGTGCAACAGTGTATCCATTCATCTCTTGGTGGATACTTGTTTGCTTTGGCCTCTTGGCTATTGTGAATAATGCTGCTATGAACCTGGGGGTTCAAATCTCTCTCTGAGACCTTTGTTCAATTCTTTTGCATATATACCTAAAAGTGGAATTGCTAGATCACATGGCAGTTCTATTTTTTATTTTTTGAGTCATCTCCATACTGGTTTTCATTTTTACGTTCCATTTTGCATTCTTATCAGCAGGGTATATACAAAGCTTCCCAATCCTGCATATCTTTGCCAACACTTGTTCTTTTCTGTTTTTTTTTTTTTTTTTTTTTTAAATAAAAGTCATCCTAATGGGTATGAGGTGATATCTGATTGTGGTTTTTATGGGAATTTCTTTGATGATAAGGGCTGTTGAGCATCCATTGTTGGCCATTTGTATAGCATCTTTGGAGAAATGCCTGAAGTTCTTTTATTTTTCAGGTAGCTGTTTTTTGTTGTTGAGTTGGAGGAGTTCTTTATATATTCTAGATATCAGTCTCTTATCAAATAGATGATTTGTAACTATTTTCCTGCCATTCCATAGGTTGTCTTTCCATTTTGTTGATTGTGTCTGATGCATGAAAATTTAAAAATATGTTGTAGTCCCATTTGTTTTTGCTTTAGTGGTCTGTGCTCTTAGCATCATAGCCAAAATATCATCACCATGCTCAGTGTCATGAAGTTTTCTTTCTATTTTTAATAGAAATTTTATTGTTTTAGTTCTGATAAAACTATATAGCTTTAGGTCTTGAGTCCATTTTGAGTTAATTTTTGGATATGGTATATGATAAAGGTCCAACTTCATTCTTTTGCTCATGAAAGTCCATTTTTCTTAACACCATTTGTTGAAGAGTTTGTCCTTTTCCCATTGCGTGGCCTGAGTATCCTTGTTGAAGATCAGTTGACTGTTGACATGAAGGTTAATTTCTGGGTTCACCATTTTAGTCCATTGACCTATTTGTATTTATTTCGCTACCATATTGTTTTGATTAGTTTTGTACTTTTGCAGTAAGGAGCTGTGAAGATCATTTTTAATTTATGCTATTCTAGGTATTGAGTAATAGTAATAGAAAACTTGATAGCAGAGAACATGATTCAAAGAATTTTATTTCTTTTTTCTAAAGATTTATTTATTCATGCATACAAGAACTGGGGTACAGGCCAAATGTGTGGGAGGGTGAGAGGATTCACCAGAGACAGAGCAGGGAGCGGAGCAGGCGGATCTACTGAAATACACTGCTGAAGGGAGCAGCGGATGAGACAGGAGAGGTTTGCCACGCCATGTGGGATTGTCACCGGCCGGCCTGGATTGAACCCATGCTGCACAGGCTGTGGACAGCTTCACAGCACTGTGCTCAACCGCCTGTGTCACCAGGGGAGGCCCTCTTTATTGTTTTTTTTTTAAGGGATGAACACAATAAATAGAATGCATGTGAGTCTATGAAATGGTGGTTAGTGTAGGAAGAGCTGTATGTCCAGCACTTCATGGTTCACAGAGTGCTTTTATAGATATTTAGAGCAGTGACTTGGGAAAACTTCAAAGAAGCAGTGAACTATGCATTGATTTCAAAGACTGGTTCTGTGCCTCAGTGGTTATAAGTTCAACGGTGTCACTAGTATTATAGAGCTATAGGGAGGTCTTTAATAAAAGTGGCTAGTAGTAATTTCAAGATTTTCAGTGTTATCAGTGATAAGAAGTGTTACTTAGGGTATTTTTTTCCTTGACACTGAATTGCCTTACTTGTTCTAATCCAGTAGTTTTTGATTTTCTGTATTTGTTCCTTGAATTGCAGTGGGCCATATACAGTGGTAGAATATTTAATCACAGCACTGTTTCATTTTCTAGGATGTGCAGTAACAGAAAGTCAACCTGTCTGGGTTGTATAGGATGAATTGAGTGAGAGCTTGGAGCCAGAGCAACAAAACGACTGCTTTAGTGAGTCACTGAGGGTACTTGAGACATAGTGTCTCACCTTCTTAATAAAACTGTTGGGGACTGCAGTGCTTGGGTGTTACTTGAAAGGATATTTAGTAGAATTTCTATGGTGGAAAAAATGAGTATGTTTGTACCTAGTAGGACTATAGTAAGTGTTTGTTTTATAATTACTAAAGGAATTTATGTCTGCATGGGATTGGGGCCTCTAAGGAGCAACTACTCACTTATCCTGTAGGTATTTATTGAGTGCCCCTAAATGTGGGGGGAATGTGGAGGGAATAGGGCTGGTGCTGCTTCTGGTGAAAAAAAAGGATACGAGGCTCTTGCTCCCTCCTGTTAACTCTTCTAGTGACAGATGAGTCCTTGTCAGTGTTCTGTTCTCTCATCTGGTTGGAATTGTGTGGGTTTTGGGGAGGGGGGTCAAAGGTCACCTGTTTACTTCTGATGCAAAATAATTGTAATTGTTTATTGTGAAAATAGTTCTATATTAAATATTCTTTGTGTCGGGGAAGAAAGAAGCACTAGACCGTTCTGCTTTTGGTTTCCAAGGAGATATATCTTGGCAAAATTTATTTTATCAAGTGCTTTTCTAAGTAACAGAACTAAAGAAAACTGGCTTTAATGGATTTTGGTTAAGGTTTTCCTGAGGACCCAGATAGGATTGCTGAATCTTGGTTTCCTCTAATTCCATGCCAACTACAAGAGAATTTAGAGACCTATTTTTGCTTAATTTTGGATTTTTCTGTTAATTGTTGGCTCTTGAATTATCAGTGTCATATGCCCTTTTTTGGATCTTCATTCATTCGTTTATTCATTTAACAGGTCTTCATTGTTTTTTATATACCAAGTAATTTAATTTACATCAGGAATAAGAATGAGTGTCAAATTAAGTTTCTTTTAAGGCCTACTGTTAAAATTCTATGAAATGTTTATTGTGAGTTAGTGAGATTTAGGGCTTTTTGCAGATAGTAGAAATGTTTTTGAAAGTACTGAAAGGGAAATTTAGAGTTTATGTTTTTGATGATAAACATTTTAGTGAGAAAATTCTATAAGGGTAGATAATTTTAGTGTTCGTTTCACTCTGATCTGAAAACAAGCAACATTTCTAGCCGACTGTGAGAATCTTTCCTTGTAATTTTGGTAGCAGACAATTCTGAATTAAACCTTTCTTCTGTTATTTGTCATACCCTGGATACTTAATTCATGTTTCAGATGGTTGGTGCCAGTGTGAGAGATTTAGAAATGCTTATCACCCCTTCTTCTAGGTGCTCAGTTCCGAATCCTTTAGAGCCTTTGTTGTTTACGTGTGTGGGAGTCTTGAGATATGGTGACATTATGTCACTGAATACAGAAGAGTCATACTGCAGATTCCACTGTGGAAATATAAGCTGACAGTTGCCCATGCTGCCAAATATGTAAAATTCAGGTAACCCAATATAAAATTTCATGGCTTTATGAAATGATATTTTTACTTTAATTTGTTGTCAGAAATTCAACATAGTGTTAGAAGATTCAGTTAAGCAAAGTAAAATTTAAGAATTTCCTCCTATGTGGATTGTGGCTATTTTAATGCTGGTCCCATTGTTACTGGGAGATTTGTGGTGGACCTGACTTTATGATTTTGACCATTTTTCTTTCATTCACTAATTAGTAACATTCTCTAAACACCTTCTAGATAGCAGATACTGTTTGCATCCTGGGTATACAGCAGTGAGCAGCTCTTGGAAGTCCCTGGGAACACACAAAGGGTTCTGATATGACATTTTTTTTTAATTGAGGTAACATGATTTACAGCAATGTGTTTTAGAGGTGTAGGATCTCCCCCTTCGGGTGTTGTTACCACACCATACCCACCACCAGAGTACCCACCACAGTCCATCCTTATAGTCCATTGTGCTCCCTTCTCTTTGTCTGATAGTCTCATACTATCATTGAATTTCTAGGGTTTGTTATTAGTTTGGCTTTGTCTGACCCTCTGTTTTCTTTCTTTATATTCCACATATAAGTGACACTATGTATTTGTGATCTGACATTTTTAAGCGCCCAAACTCTGTAGAGAGTACAAGAAAGGGCATAAAGACAGGAGTGACTAGGGGGTTCTTGCAGTGATCTGGGTGAGATGTGATGTTAGCAGCAGTGGGGGTGAGCAATGACTGGCGTTTGGACATATCCCAGGTGATGCTAACACTGTTCCCTGGAGGGGGAGATGATATGGAGTGAAAGAAAGAGGAGTCAAGGATAACACCAAGACTTTGGGCTTGAGCACTGGAATGATGGGGTGCCATTTGCTGAAATGGAGCAGACAGGAGGAGCAGGTTTGGGTGGGGTAGAAGAGTTGATTTGTATGTGTTGGGTGTGAGATGCCGGTTGCTGTGCAAGTGGAGAAGTCAAGCTGGGAGCTGACTTTGTGAGAAGTTTCAGTTTTCTAATCTGTGAAAAGGGGAAGTATTTTTCCTTCTCAGAATTCTTGAGATCAAATAAAAAAAAAAAAGTTAGAACTTCTAACATTATGTACTATAACGGTGGTGGTTCTGGCAAGTGCCTCGCATCTGAGGTACTTCATGGTTTCTTAACTCAGAGGCTGTTGTGTGTGGAAAGTTGACATTTGCCCTCCAAAGGCTGGCTTTCTTTCCAATAGATGGAAAAACTTTCTCCTTGGTCCATTCTGTGATTCCTAGCCAACCTCTGGGGGAACTTGGTATTTTGATTCCCCGGAGAGTATCACAAGACATCATTTTGTGTGGGGCCTCTGTGGCATCAACTTGTCCCTTAGGAAACAGCTTTAGGCCAAAGTGATCTCACTTAGGGGGGAGGATATTGTAGCTGAAAACTTAACAGCTCTTTCCTTTCTCAAAGTCTTTATTATTTTAGGCTTTCTGTAACTTGGGTCAGTTAACAAATAGGGTCTAATAGGTGAAATTTATTAAGGAGACCATTGTCCGTATTTCTAGATTTAGAATACTTATTTTCATACTTCTAGGATTTTGGCTTGCTTTAAAATTTTTTATAGGCAGATGAATTATGTACTTTTGAACCTACTGAATTAAAGTTTAAGATTCAATTAAAAAGGTTGAAAGCATCCCTCTTATATTTCAAACCAGAGGTATTTTGAATTCATTCAAATGAATTTACCGCTCAAGGTTGCAGTTAATAGTTATGTCCTTGAAAAGCAGTATGTGCAGTCCACTGACGCCTTCCCTGCTGTTAGATGTTGCTTTAGGAATGTCTTTAGTCAGGCCATGTCTTCATGGTTCTCAGTTCTTGTTCTTCTAATTCCTCAGGTAGTTTGAATAAAATTACTACTGCCTTTTCCTCTCTGGCCTCCTAGTTTCATTTGTCCACACAAGATTCAACTGAGCGCTGGCTCTCTGTGCCCACGTAGATTATGTGATTTAGAAAGGAGGGTAAGGGCATCATTAAAGGGTGTTTTTGAGGACCCAGTATGTGCAGTGAATATAACATTTGATGAGTAACTGACAGTCCTTGAATTCTCCATCTTGGTAATATTCTCAGTGTTCAATGCAGAAAGCAATAGTGGCTTTAATAATGAGGGTAGGATCAGAGAAACAGGAACTGTATTTTTCTGTAGATAATCATGGAGGCAGAGATTATTTGGGTAGTTCTGGTATCTTTCAGGCAGGAGGACACTTCTCAATGTTAGGGTTTTTGTCTGGGCCTCCAATTTATACAAGAGGTTCTCTCATCTGCTCAGTAATTGTTATGTTTTCACTTTTCATTGCATTGCATTAGCTTACTATATATTTTATTTCAGCTTCTAAGAAACTAAACTATGGGTATGCTGTATTTATCACTTTATGCAATTGTTGGAGAAGACCCTAAGCCTTTTGAAGTACCTATTAGAAAATTTAGATCATTGTGGGAAATAATTTTAAAGGAATCTATAAGTTTATAAGTTTCCATCTTTATCTTTTCCATGCTTAATTCCCATCCCCCACTCCCCAACTTAAATTATCTAAAATATCTTCTAGGATTTTCCATAGTATCTGATACCTTTTATTTGAATTTAAGTCTAATCGACATTGTTACTGGGGAGATATGCTCTAGGTTTCTGAAGTCACATTACCCAATAAACTCTTCTAAAGAGTGTGTGTATGTTTTGTTAGTAGCTTTATTGAGTTAAAATTCATTTACTATATAATTCTCCCATTCAAAGTTTTCGGTTAATGTCTTTAGTACATTTGCACAGTTGTGTAACCATCTCCATAAACAATCTTAAAACATTTTCATCATCCCTAAAAGAAACTCCAGCCCCATTTGCAGTAACACACCCCCCCCCCCCGCCCAACCCCTGAGTTCTCTCCAACCAACCCACCCTCCTTACCCCAAGCTGTAGTTCACCACTAATCTTTCCATCTCTATAGATTTGCCTTTTCTGGATGTTCGTATGAACCGGCTCATGCAATACTTGGTCTTTGACATTGGGCAGTGATCTGGCCTCTCCTTGCCTGAGCTTTGCCTGCTGCTTCCTTGAAGTTTTCAGATAATTTTTAGATGTCAGCTCTGATGCTCTCCTTTTACCTTTGGTCTGGTGACACTTTTGTCCTTTTGAATTGATTCTCTTCAATGGAGCGTGTTCTTCCTCTTTACAGCTAGGTGGTTACTGCTGTCTCCTTTCTGACCACCTTTACTCCTGCTGCTCTTGGCTTCAGGCTGTTTTGTCTGAGTCTTCTTTCTTTCTTTCTTTTTTTTTTGTTAAAGATTTATTTATTTAATTATACAAGCACTGGGGTACAGGACAGAGGTGCGGGAGGGTGAGAGAATTCACCAGAGGCAGAGCATGGAGCAAAACAGGCAGAAGGACCGAAGAAAACTGCTGAGGGGAACAGCGGGTGAGACAGGAGAGGTCTGCTGCGCTGTGTGGGAATCTCCCTGGCCGGCCGGGAATCGAACTGGCGCTGCAGAGGCTGCAGACAGCTTCACAGTGCTGCGCTCAACCTGCTGCGCCACCAAGGAGGCCCTCTTTCTTTCTTTTTTTTTTTTTAAGATTTATTTTTATTTACTTATGCGTGGAAGAACTGGGGTATAGGCCAGAGGTGTGGATGATGAGACTGTTTACCAGAGACAGAGCGGGGAGCAGAGCAGGCAGACTGACTGAAGTACACTGCTGGGGGGAGCAGTGGAGCGAGACAGGAGAGTCTGCTTTGCCATGTGAGTTTTTCCCTGGTCGGGGATTGAACTCATGCTGCAGTGGCTTGATGGCACTGAGACTTTAACCCTTGCTCCACCAGGGAGGCCCTGAGACTTCTTTCTAACATATCACTTAAGTGCCTGTGCCAAGCTCAAGGAACTAAAGTGATTCCAGTACTTTCAAACTCAGACTCTGCTGTTTCTTTGTGACCTTTCAGTGGGGCTACTTTTCTGTTAGTCTGATTTCTTTGGCCTGTCCAGGACTGTGTCTCTGCCGTCAGATGCTGGACCTCTGCTATTTTCTTCCCAACTGTTCTGATTTCTTTTAGCCTTTATTCATCTTTTAATTATATTCAGTTTATAAAGTATATGAAATCTACCAAATTTCTCCCCCATAGCCTTAGGTCTTTCCTCCTCCTCTGCATATCATTCCCCTATCATTATCTTCTCTCCTTATTCCCTCTGGTAATACTAACCCCTGACCTCTCTCCATTGATGTCTTTCAGGTTACTGTACCTCACCTTGATTTCTCCTTTCTCTGAAGTGCTGCTGTATACTTAAAGAGCTCAGCATTTAATAATTAATGTGTGATTCATCAGGGATATTTAGGTTGAAGACTCAAAGGGAACTTCATCCCTTGTCACCCTATTGAAAGTCATGTGGAAGAAAGAGAGACCTCTGTTTTCTCAGACCCCACATGTTAGAACACAAGGAATAGAGTAAAATTGTACCTTTGACTAACATTCAGAAAGGACTTTTCTGGTAGAGCTGCATGCAAGTATGACAGGCATTGTTCTGGAGGAGGATTGTTCTGGAGGAGGCCATGGTGAAGGCCTTTCAGACCGTCCTGAGAGCACAGTGAGATTGGTGTTCTGTCACTGTGATAGAAGTTTAGATTGAGCAATTGGAAGCCAGGCTTAGAAAACTTTTGAGTTAAACACCTGCTGGTCCTGAGATACTCAGAGTGTCTCACTTGTTTACCAAATTTTTATAGATTGCCTGCATTGTGTGGCAGTGTAAATGCAGGGTTTGCATTTATATGGCATAGAGACAAGGGAGGAATTGGATTTCTCTTCTGGGAGATTTAGATTCTTGGGTGGGGGGGCATGACCATTTCTCATTTGATGTGTTTGCTTGGCCAGGAGGAATGGGCACATGGGCATTCATTCCTGAGTGGTTCACCAGTGCACTGCTAATGACTGATTCTCCCTGTTGTAAAACTTGTTACTGTGGTTTTTGTTCGGCTGTTTTTATATGACTTAGTTTCTTGCTTGAAGG